TAGGGCTGAGAAGTCTGTGGAGAGGACAGGAGCAGGGCAGATCCACAGAGGAGCTCATTTCTTTTTATTTTTTGAGTTGGAGTCTCACTCCTTGTCACCCAGGCTAGAGTGCAGTGACGCAGTCTCAGCTCACTGCAACCTCCACCCCCTGGGTTCAAGCGATCCTCCTGCCTTGGCCCCCCAAGCAGCTGAGGTTACAGGCATGTGCAATCATGCCCAGCTAATTTTCTGTATTTTTAGTAGGGATGGGGTTTCTATGTTGGCCAGACTGGTATCAAACTCCTGATCTCCAATGATCTGCCTGTCTCAGCCTCCCAAAATGCTGGAGTTACAAGCATAAGCTACCCTACCTAGCTGGGATAGCTGCTTCTTGGCACAAAATCAGCAAGTTCAACTTGCTGATTGATCAGAATTTTTGTTTTGGGATGGAAGAATCTAATTTCTAGAGCTTAGAAGCAACATAGCCCAGAGAACCCAGGGGTGAGGGGGAGTCAGGGTGGCTACAGCCCTGCCAGGCCTCACAGCCTCTGCTCCAGGCTGGCACAGGCTCACTCATATCCTGCTCCACCACCACTTCATTACACAAGAGAATGAACCAGGTCATGCGTGGTGGCTCATGGCTGTAATCCCAGCACCTTGGGAGGTCAAAAGTTCAAGACCAGCCTGCCCAACATGGTGAAACCATGCCTCTACTAAAATTACAAAAATTAGCCAGGCATGGTGGTAGGCACCTGTAATCCCAGCTACTCAGGAGGCTGAGGCAGGAGAATTGCTTGAACCCAGGAGGCGGGTAAGAACCAGAACGAAGACTGTCCATGCTACCCTGCTGCTTTTCGCATAGCCCTGCAGTGGCCCTGGGCTCACCAGCCAAACACGCAGTGTGATGTGCCTATGAAGTCACAAGCAGGCTCGGTACCGTTGTGAAAAGCTGTCCTCTCTTGCTGAGTGAGCATGTGTCACTTGAAGCTGCCTGGCAGTGCTTTATTAGGTTATCTGAGGAAATACTGGTTTAAATGGAGCTGCATCCCAAGCCCATTATCACAACCTTCTCCCTGCTGGGAATGTGAGACTGAACTGAACCCCCAGCTGAAAGTGATCCTGAGGCTTGGCGCTGTGCCACCTCCCTATTGGGTTCACAGAAGTTCCTGCAAGCCTGGCTGGGACTCCTCAGTCATGCAAAGCAGCTCTGGCCTCCAAGGCTGTGCAACTGTCATCTGTGTGCTACTCCACCCCCAGCATGGGGATGAACCCAGATGAATAGGTGGGTGACAGTGAGAATCAGCCCAGGGCAGGCAGTGCAGAAAAAGAGCTGGGAAGGCACTTATCTCCTTTATTGAATATCTGCAGGAGGCACCTCTGCACTGACCAGGCAGCCAGAGAAGAAAGCAGGCAGGCGGTGGGGGGCAGGGGCGTATGGGACAGGAGATGCCCACCCTCATTTCCAGTCCTTGAAAAATTGCTTGAAGATGGGAGTCTCACGGCCCTGGGGCAGAATCTCCACCTGCAGGGACAGTGGGGGAGAAGTCTGGTTCACAAAGCTGCCACCTCTGCCTCTGCCAGGGAGGACAGGAAGGGGTAAGAGCCAGGGAGGAGGGTGTGGGCGCCTGGCCTGAGTCCATGTGCAGTCCAGGCCAGGAAAGCTCCCCTGGATGAGCCACAAGATGAGAACCAAGATTTCAGGGATACAGACTGAGGCAACAGACTGCTTCAAGCATGTGGGTGCACAGTTCGATAAACGCCACCAACTGTAGCTGAGCCCTGTCAGCTCCCCATGGGATAACTTGTGGACGCTGTGCTGTGGCTGGAGGAGTGGCACCAGCCAGGGACAATGGCCCAGAGGAGGAACACCCAGTTCTGTGGGTGCCCAGGGGAGTGCTGCCCAACATTCTCTTTGAAAAGAACAAGTATTTTGACATTTTGAAGGATTGAGATGGGCTTTCCCACTTGATGGGTCTGAGAGGGAGGGCTGGTTGTTCTAACAGTGCCCGAGTCTCTCCTGCCCTTCCTGGCCAATCTGAGGGCTCAGAGGCCACAGGAGGAGCCCTAGGAGGAGGGCTGGGGGCATGGGCATCTCCTCACCTGAGTGTTTGGGGCGTACCGCATGCGCGAGATGAAGCCCTCGGCCACGTGCAGAGCTGCCTGCCGCTCCTTCTCATTCGCTTTTCGTCCTGGATCATAGGAAGGAGATCTTTCAAAACAGCAGGGACCCTCCTTAGCCCCCATCCCATTTTTCTTGAGGAAATTTAAGGGAGTCCACAGAAGAGCCAGCAATTTTTACAATAAATGGACCAGGGGTCCCAAGAATGCTGAGGGGCTCTTTGGAGATGTGGAGTCAGTCCTCTAAGAATTTTCCCAAACCGGCAGCACCAAGGTAGATGAAAATCCCTCTTCTGTCAGGGTCTGATCATGCAAACCTCTGCTCTGACCTGGGCCCCAGGAATATTTCAGGGAGGGAAAAGGTGTTCTCCCAGCATCAGACTGTGAGGCCATAGGTCTCCTTTTCCCCCAGGACCCCTCACCTCTTGAGTTCATCAAGCCTCTTCTGAAAAACTAAATAAGACAAAGGGTGCAATTTATTATAGATGTGAACTTAATCCCATAGTGCCCGCAGGGCTACACTGGCCTAACAGTTATGCTAACTTAGAGCTTATAAAAATGAAGACCCTAAATAGCCCAGTCATTCCTGCAGGCAGTCCTGAGAACTCAAACTGTGCTCCATTCCAGGCTTTTTTTTTTTTTTTTTT